ATATATATATATATACTTTCCTTTCTCTCATATAATTAATATATATGTGAGAATGGGGGCATCGCACGAGAAGTTTATTTCCCTGTCCATTAAATTTTCCTTTCATTCCCCAAATTTCTCATATAGCAGTAACTTAAATTTCCAGTAGAGCCTTTAGAAATACTGTACAGTTTAAGCAGCCCAAGAAAAGGGGCAGGGAAAGTTACCAAGGGACTGTGAACATAGCAAATGTAAGAGTTCTAGGTGTGAGGGATTCTCAGTGTCTCTCACAGCAATGCTAACAATTTGAAGACTGAAGGAAAATTCAGGGGGGTAGATTTTTTTATGTGGGGGGGATGGTTTTATTTTGCCCCCTTGTAGCTACACCCTTGAATGCCACTTACAGTTTTACCTCTAGAGCTTGTGAAACCAAGGGACCTGCATTCAAGAAAAATTACAGTCCAGTCCTACCCAGTGAAAGCAAAGCATTTGGAGAGTATTTGTTAGAATTTATGGTTTTTGGTTAATTTGTGGTTAAATCAATTTAGCAGCAGCAGCAGTAGCACAACGATAAATGTGTCCTCCACAGATATTTGGTAAAAACAACTAGATCTGAGCGTCTGGTAAATAAAGAGGATATATTGGTAGGTAAAAAGAAATTTATTTTATTGTTACATCTAGGTTCTACAAAATAACTACTCAGTTGAGAAAACTATACTTTGATACAGAGGTCCCTAGATAGCTGACCTCCATGTGTGCAAGTAAGAAGAAAACCATCTTTAGGAGCACAGCATGGTTTCTGGGTCCATCCTCGATGGAAGCAGAGAGGAAAGTGTGCTACCAAACAAAGAATAATAAATCTTTATTACCTCCAGAAAGAGGAGGGGTATGGGAAGTGACCTCTTCACAAGCAACACTGACCAAATGACCATAGTATACATCAGTGTTCCTGTGTACAGCACCCCCTTCTCAAGAAAAATATAGAACTACAGTACACACAAACATTGATGCTGATACTCCAATAGTATTAAACTGAGCAACAGATCCCAAAGCAAAGTACAGTGTGATTCTAACTAAGCATGAGTACTCCGAAGACTTCTTCCTTCGGTAGAGCTGCTCACCCATGGAAACCTACTGGCTGACCTTGGGCAAGTCACACTCTCTCAGCCTCAGAGGCAAGCAAAGGCAAACCTACTCTGAATAAATCTTGCCAAGAAAGCCCCATGATAAGATCGCTAAAGGTCAGAAATGACTTGAAAGTACACAACAACAACAAAGCTGCAATGTTGTCCATCATTTCTTCAGGGCAAACTCTAAAGAGAGCAAAATAGGGATTTTGCCTTCCCATGACAATCCTTCTCTCCCCTCCCCATGAATTTTTTTTTCGTTAGTCTCGAAATTTCTAGCTTTGCAGTAACTTAAAACTCCAGTCGAAATTTAGAAATAGAGTGTGGGCACCCAAAGTGAAGAGACAGGCAAAGAGAACAAATCGATCTGAATGATTTCCAAGAGTTTAGCTCTCTGCAATGATAGAAATTCAGAGAGTGAAGGAAAAATTCATTGGGAAGAAAATTCTTATTTGTGTGTTGGGGGGGATACTTTCATTTCTCTCCCTCCCCCTCATGGGTAAGCACCATTGAGCACAGTGGGATTCCCATACAGCAGTGTTGCCTATGGGTTGCATTAACTTGGAAGGAAATCCACGAAACTTGCTGCCACAGAATTCCAGTGCAGCCGAGTTATTTCACGTGAAGGTTTCCTTGGAAGGCACGGGCTCCTCTTGGGATTGTTTTTATGTCAAAGATCTCAGCTACTTCCCTTCCCCGATGCCTAGTTTAAAACATTTCACTTCAGATTTTATCAGGGACCAGGGAAAGAATGGAAAGGAGGGAGAGGGAGAAGAGGAAAGAGCAGGAGGACGGAGAAGGTAGGAAGCAGCCACAGCCAGGTATCTTCCTCAGGTAATCCATATTTTTATATAGATCAAGAACAGAAAATAAGAGATGCTGAAAGTGAAATAGTGGGAACAGTCTCTCTCTCTCCCACTCCCTGTAATGATCTGGTTTGACACCACAACCAACTACCATTCCCAGAATTCCATAGCCTTGCACCATGGCAATTAAAGCGGTGTCAAACCGGATTATTTCTGCAGTGCGGATGCATCCTTCTTTCTGCACCCTCCCCTTCCGGGACAACTGGCAGCCTGGGCAAGCAAGGAGGAAACAGGCAAGAACGGGAGTTTGTGAAGAGGGAAATCGATCTTGTTGTTGTTGTTGTTGTTGTTGTGTGCCTTCAAATGGTTCCCGACTTATGGTGACCCTAAGGCAAACCTTTCATAGGGTTTTCTTGGCACATTTCTTCAGAGGGGGTTTGCCCTTGCTATCCTCTGAGGCCGAGAGAGTGTGACTTGCCCAAGTGGGTTTCCACGGCCGGGCCAGGATTCGAACCCTGGTCTCCCAGCGTCCTAGTCTAGGCTCAAGCCATGGCACCACGCTGTCTCCTCAACATTTCCCTCTCCTCCTAAATGAAGAGCTTAGAAAGTGACTTTGAGGGACATCATGACATACTGAAAAGAGTATTGGTCGTGGGCTGAAGCGGTGTGATCCCTCGCCCACTTATCGCGTGCGGACGTCCCATCAAACATCAGCTCCGTCAAAGCAACGTGCGGATCTTTCTCGCAGCAGAAAAGAAATCAATATTTACTCTCACTGGGAGAAGTTCCTTGAAGTCTAGAGCCATGAAGGCCAGTCCATGTGAACTGCAGAAAGTGCCCCCCCTCCCTCCGGAAGCCTGCTAGGCTTGTTGGCTAACTGGGTTTGGCTTGGACTTGCCAGGTTAAGGCACTGGTGCGACTGGAAAAGAAAACCTTCCCGTGAAAACATCGCCCAGGGAGACAAGGGAGCTCTCTCTTTCCATCCTGCAATCCCTCCCCTGGACATCAAGCACAGAAAAGCAAGAGCCACACTGTCCCTGAGAAGATTTGTTGTTGTTGTTGTTGTTGTTGTTGTGTTCTTTCAAGTCCTTTCCGACTTATGGCGACCCTAAAGGGAACCTATCACAGGGTTTTCTTGGCAAGTTTCTTTAGAGGGTTTTAATTTAATTTAATTTAATTTAATTTTTTTTCCATGGCCATCTTCAGAGGCTGAGAGAGTGTGACTTACCCAAGGTCACCCCGTGGGTTTCCATAGGGATTCGAACCCTGGTCCCCAGAGTTTTAGTCCGACGCTCAAACCACAAAGGTACCAACTATTCAAATTCCTCCCTGCTTGACTCGAAAGGGAGCAACACAAGCTTTTCATGAGCGAGGCGAAAGCGACGATCGCTTTCCCATAGTAACCTCAAGGAAAACAGCCAGTTTGCTTAGAGAGAGCCAGCATGGCTAGTGGTTTGAGTTCTGGACTACGACTCTAGAGGCCAGGGGTTCGATTCCCAACTCGGCCATGTAACCCTCTGGATGACTGTGGGCAAGTCACACTCTCTCAGCCTCAGGGGAAGGCAAGGGCCAACCACCTCCGAACCAGTCTTGCCAAGAAAACCCCAGGATAGGGTCGCCTTAGGGTCTCCGTAAGCTGGAAATGACTTGAAGGCACACAACAACAACAACAACAACAGTAACACCAAATGCCAAGTTAGGGCCCATCTGAATGGCTGGCCTTCTTGCTCCAGTGCGGGTTCCATGGGTCAGAGAATGAGGAATAGAAAACAGGATTAGAAAACAGATTCCTCTCCTTAGTCCTCTTATTGGGACAAGTTCTTTAGATGTGGGAGTATGCCAGCTTTGCACTGGCACCCAGTTCCTCCGCCTGAAGAGGAATCATGTGTAGGCTGCAAAACGGGTGCATTTTCCCACAAAGTGCGAAATGACCTTACATGAGGTGTGTGCCTGTTTATCTGTCCCTCTACCAGTGTGTCGTACAGGTTTGAGTGTTGGATTACAACTCTGGAGACCAGGGTTCGATTCCCAGCTCAGCCACGAAACCCACGACCTTGGGCGAGTCACACTCTCTTAGCCTCAAGGGAAGGCAATGGTCAACCTCTGAACAAATCTGGCCACGAAAACCCCATGATAAGTCGAGAAAGGACTTGAAGGCACACAACAACAACAACAACAACAACAACATCTACCTACCTATCACAACAGATGGCACAATTAAAGAAGATAGTTCTGCAACAAAAGCAGACCATTGGATTAAAAAGAGGCAACTCCATAGATAATAGAAAGCACCATTCTATGCCTATTCCCACTCGCTTTCGCAACGATAGCACAGATAAAGGAAGTTTTAACAACCAATTCGTTGAGCTGGGCTCACTTCTTATATAGTCTTTATTTATTTTGATGTTTACTTCTTCTCTTCTCCTCCCACCCATGAGAAATCCTAGAAATCCCCTATGCAATGCCTCTTTCAAAGAGTTCGGGTTTACCTCTAAAAATCTCAGGGATTTCGCCTGGCAGATGGATTTCATACAGACGTTAATTCCGATTTGTGTTATCATAGTTTTCCTCCAATATTTGATTTCTGGGTCAACCAAGTCGCCTAGGAATCATAGGCTTCATCCTCACTGCATTAAAAAAATCCGATTTGACACCACTTTTAACTGCTCAAAGCGATGGAATTCTGGGATTTGTAGTTTGGTGGGGCACCAAGGCAAAGCTATGACATTCTGGGGTTTCTGGAATTTGTAGTTTGGTGGGGCAAATTCTATGCTTTGCTCTGGTGCCCCACCAAACTACCATTCCCAGAATGCCATAGCCTTGAGCCATGGCAGTTAAAGTGGTGCCAAACCGGATTATTTCTGCAGTGCGGATGCACCCACAGCCTTAGAAGTGTGGGAAGAGCAAGGAAAGGTACAGAAGCAAAGGACAGAAATGCGCTCCTGAACCCCAGTCTTTTTTGTCTTTCTCTTTCTGGGGTTTTGCATTCCCACGAGTCCCAAGAATCAGGAAAAGTATCCGAGACAATTCCTGGCACCTCCACAAAAGAGCGCTTTCCTAACGGTTGTTAACAACAAGCTGGAGGGCAGAAAGCAATAAACCTGCCAAATTCTGCCTGGGCGTCAACTAAGTATAAAAACATCTCCAAAACCTGGCAGAATAAAAGCTAAGAGAGACTTAGCTTCTCCATCAAAGCGGCCCAGAACTGGGGGATCAGATATCCTAACCTCAATGGAGGACAAGGCACTGTAAAATGGAGGACATCCCAGGAAACCATAGGACATTCCTTACCAAATCAAAGCTACAAACACTCATATAAATAGAAATCCCTGATCGAAAGGGAGGACCTTTGGGCATTCCTCCCGGAAATAAGGTGGAAATGGAGGATATGTCCTGGAAAAGGAGGATATCTGGTC